ATGTTCACCCAACCGAAAATGTCCACTAGCAGTACGGCACGCAGAAACTCTAAACAAACAGACCTGTACAATGGAGTGGGGAAAACTTTAATTTTCATCATTGTTAATCATTTGTATGCAAATATGAGCATGGGATTAGTAGATAATAATGTACATAATGCATCAAGTCTTTCTGAGAGCGATTTAAAAAACTAGCCTTTTTGAAAAACACATGTAGTATTTTATGTAGTAACCCATAAATGCATTAAATGCAACTCATTGAGCTGATTGGTCTATTTGTGTCCCTCACTGAACAGACGTCACAAAATATATTTTCCTCGACCTGATGATTCTCGCGATGGCTTTTCCCGCGCACATGCGCAGATCCAGGATAAACGTCAATCCTTTATAAATATGCATGAGAATATCGTGTTCTTTTCCTGACCAGTACTTTGTTAATATCGAATAAAATTTCGTCGAATTTGCAAGAATGCTTCATTTTTGGTAGCTTATTATACTCAGAAAATTTTTGTTCGGTTTCAGCTGTGCAAAAATACTGTTTAACACGGCATACATATCTTTAAAAAAGAATTTATAAAAGTTGACTTTTGTACCTCATGAAAGGAAAAAATGATTAATGATGTTTAAGAGAAATAAGATTTTCTTGAATTAAGCCTTAGAAACCCTTGAATCCAGTCTTACCAATGCTTATTAGCATGATATGAAATAAGAGGTGATTTGTGGTGTTTTGCAATGATTGCAAAAGCCTTTGACGCAATGTATTATAGAATACATGACGGAAATAGAAGACAAAAATACCAAATAAGTATGAAAACCATGACAATTTCTTTGAATGCCTTAATACCTATCGTTTTTTAACCTATAATATATTTGTTGATCGCTTTGCAATTAGAAAATGCATTAGTGATATTCCAATTCGCTTTTTCTGCAAAAATATTGGAATTTTGACAATTTTCACTATATAATATGATCAACTTTAATCTTTAACTTTAAAGAAATATTGTGGATAAATTTATGTAGCTTTGTGGATTCAGAGATACTTTTATGAGTATTTTTGATTACTTATCTGCTAGTTTTGTAAACCTAAGGACTGGACTACCCTGTTAATACCAATACCAACCGGAAGGGGATAATAAGCAAACTTCATTAATGACCCACCTAGAAAAATCAATCCTGTGTATTCTAGTAACATCATTATTCTGGACACAAAGTTAAACGGCAGCTAAATCATATGTTAGTTAAGGTCATTTCTGCTGCAGTAGGAGATTTTATCTGCGGCTGTAGAACTACACATACATGTTTTAGAGAATGATAAGTCAGGCGCATACATGTACATGTTTGTAAACATAACAGATACCTACGTACTACATTTACATTAATTGATACATGTATAATTCTTTGTATAAAATCATGCCTTTAAATGCATATCTAATTATTAATCCCGCTTTTATTGGCCTCATGTAAGTTTGTTGATAAATTGTGTCAAATTGATACTTGAATATATTGTCTGCTATGGAACGAAAGAGTCAAAATATTTGGTAGCAGTTTCTTGTGCATTCTGTGGTCTGTTTTGGTTTCCTCTAGATGTTTTCTTAATTTTAAGGACATTGGCAACGTTTCTGGATTTTGTATAGAATTTTTTAAGAACTTTTGAACATGTTTATTGGTACCAAACATGTTCAATTCAGGTCCTTTTTACCCATCAAGCCAGCCTTCCTTTAAAGATTTTGTCAAATCAATGTTTTTATAATTCTCAATGCATTTCCTATGTAAAATGTTGATAAAATGGTCTTATATTATTTTTAACCACAAGTTTTTTCTAAAACCCATTTATTTCATAAAGTTATACATAAAATACATTGTTGAATCTTCATTTCTGATGACAAACATATACTTTGGCTCAAATTGCAAATATAGAAACAAAACACAGAAATACCAGCACTGTTATTTGATTTTGAGTTACTTCCCTTAATATCTAATTATTATTCATAATGATCAAGAGACTGGTTGTTTGTTTCTATACTATAATTTACTTTATTTGAAAGGAACTGTCATTAAACATTTTGGCAAGGATTTATTATTAACTTTTAATGACGCCTCCTTCACAAAACTTATAGAATTGTTCTCATCTGGTCTACCTAGCTATCAACACTTTCAGCATAATTATGTCACGTCTGTGCACTTCCCAGCATACATGCACCTATTCTAAATGACGACATGTTGACTGTCTGCCCCCTCAGCACAATGTTAACACACCCATCTCTGCTATTCTTTTATTACTCTAGAATTGTATATCAGATAAAAACACACACGTGCTTTTGTTTACCTCTCAGTCTGTAACATACGCTTTATTGGTTTTCACCGCCTAGAGAATTCCTTACGGGAGATCACTCTCAATGACTATTTTTATAAATGAAAAAACCTAGGTATAAACCCTTTTTCTCCGGAAACCCTGCATTGCCAATGACCTAACTCTGTACTGGGAGAGCATTTATCAGCCGAACAGCAAAAAACTCTTTTACATCACTGACCACGTGTCTTAATTTATATCGCGCATACTAGATTATCAAACTCTTCCGCACTGTGGCTGAGTTTTGGAAATTTACAACTAAATTTTCAAATGTTTTCAATGTAATGAAATTGAAAAATGTTTTTGCATGTATTGATAAACAATGTGTTCATGATGTATTTCATCGAATATTTCGATCATTTTTAATTGCGTGAATTTTTCCTTGATGATTTTTTTTCTCTCAGAGAAGTGATTCGGTCGAAATACTGTTTGGTCTTGGCTACTGTTATGGAGAGTTTATAAAATCAATTCCCAAAATTGGTGTCTAGATTGATATATATTTTTTGACCTGTTTCTAAAATATTTAAAAATCATAAACTTTCTATGTGTTTAAAATTTTATCTTTTTGTTCCCATATGTATCAATCTATACACATTTTTATCACGCAAAATTCAATTATTGTAAAAGTTTACAAGAAAATTTAAAATTTTTGAAAATTGCGACTCGACTTATTCAATTTACTTATATAAATATGACTTAATTTGATATTTTCAAGTCTGTTTTAACAAGAAAACCATTGTTCAGTTGTTTCAAAATCACTTCGATACAAGTAGTCCTAATTGTAGAATATAGCTAAATGTCAAGATAATTTAAATTACGCTTAGCTGTTAAAAAATTACAATTTCCATGATTAAGGGCAAGGAAATTTAGTTAACAAAGGACAAGATGACTTAGGTTTGAAATTACAAATCATGACAAGATAATTCCGTTTACAAATTATAATTAGGAACAAGATAATTTAGTTTACAAATTAACAACAATATTTTTGAACAACAACATTTGTACATACCCTTAACATTTGGTGGGATAACATACTGTAGTTCCTCGATTTTATCTGAAAAATAAATCGGAAAAATAATTTTTAGTTGTCAATTTATAGAGTTCTTAATTTAAAAAAATTACAACTCCAAGCTCATTGTCCTTGTTTTTCTATTATGGGGCTATATGGAATGTAACCGAGATTACTTAGTACTACATAACAGTATCCCAGACTTCTGACAATTCCATGTTAGACACAAAATACTGATATAATATTTTTATTAAGTTACTTATCACTTAAATGTTCAAAGCTATAATATTATTTAATATTATTACTGGAATGAATTTTCATGAATGATGGTCATATGATAATCAAGAAAATAATAGTGCATTCAAATTATTGGTATTTTCGAGAGAACCCCCCCCCCGAACCTTCTATCATTCAATATCTATTGTTTACTCGCATAGCAAAGCAGTGGATAAAAGGATAAAACTATTTAGTTTCGCAGATTGAGTCCTTTTAACACTTGGTAATATTAATGTCCTAAAACAAATTTTTAAGAAATCACTTAAAATTTTGTTTGTGTTTTTGTACTGCTTTTATTGAAAGACAAGAAATTCTTTGTTCGATATCTTTCCATATTTTTTTAATTACATTTTTTGTCGATGTCTTTTAGTTCTATATTTAGGGTATAAGTTCTGAACGATCCTGGTATCATGATCTTTCAAATGTAGGTAGAATGCTTATTGCTCACTTTAACCATGTAATCATTTGTAGTTTCCGTTGAAAAGGAGTAAGGGTAATTTTTATGCACCCGGATCGATAAATCCGAGGCGTATATTGTTTTTGTCTTGTCTGTTTGTCTGTTTATCTGTTTGTCTGTTTGTCTGTCTGTCTGTTAATCTTCACCATAACTTTTGAACCTTATGAGACAGAGACTTCATATTAGGTATGCATACTTCACTAAAGAAGTTTTTTCAAATGACTTCAAGGTCAATGACCTCTTGACCTTGACTGTGACCTATATGCTAAATATAGCTTTTTTGAACTTTTGCAATAACTATTGAACCATCAAAGATATAGACTTCATATTTGGCATGCTTACTCCACTAACGAAGCTCTTACAATTGACATCAAGGTCATTGACCTTGTGACCTTAACTGTGACCTATATGTTAATAATAGCTTTTTTCGAAATTTGGCCGTAACGTTTGAACCATGTGAGATAGGGACCTCATATTTGGTATGCATGCAATACTAATTAAGCTCTTTCAAATGACACCAAGCCATTGACCTTGTGACCTTGACTGTGACCTATATGCTAAAAATAGTTTTTTTAACTTTGTTGCCACCGGGCGCATAGTGTTTCACAAACACATCTTGTTTAAATATGTAATATGCATTTTCAACATCCTATCTGACTGATAAGTATGACTACCCATTAAAGTAATTCAATCAGCTTGACCAATTGATGTCCAGTAATGAAGAAGAATATTTTCAATGTTGGCATTTGAATTTAAATTTTTATATGTTTGGTCAAAGCTTAGAATTGCAATCGAATTGATCGAATTTTATTCAGTCTTCCTTAGGATAAGGATATACGAATAAACGAATATCTACGATCGAAGGAATACAAACAATGTTTACCTAAGTAACCTAGAATTAACCTCACCTGTGTGACTTTTAACGGTTTCACACAATTCATCAATAAGTAACAGTTTATCAATGTCTTTGGCCTCTTTTTCTGGATCCATGGAACATGTTCTTATATCATTCACAGCATCTTGGTAAACAGTAGAAGTCCCCATATTTTGCTCTAACTCAACAGTAATATCATAAATGTTTTGCCATTCCTTTTTAAAATCTGAATCTGAAAGAGAGAAATCTGCTGCATGTCCATAATACTTGTTTCTTGTCAGTCTGATTCTTTCTATGTTGGCAGATACACTATTGTCTGAAGGATAGGGAATTTCTCCCCAGCCTTGTATATGTGGAGTTATTTTACACACGTTACGTAGAAGAAGGTACATCAAACTAATGTCAAAATCTGAATAATCTCCGCCATACTGTGTATTTGGTAAGGGAAAGATGAGAGCAATTTGTTGTTTATTTAGAGGACTATTCTGTTTCTTCTTTTTTAGGTCATCAATCCAAGTTTTGACCGTTTTTGATAAATTGGAGGGTGGAATTTTTATTCTGAGAATATCACGCAGCAGATCTGTGCATGGACCAAGGATAAGTCTTGCTACCCTTGCAAGATTTGTGGTTTCTGGAGTAGACTTGTACTTTGATGACGTTGTTTTATTGACATTTCTCGTCGTTGAAAATAACTGTAAATAAATTGTCAGAAATATTATATAAATTAATTCTACCAGACTCGATTAATTCTGAGTATAAGTGTATAAAAAATGAAAAGACTTTTGTTCTTCTGAAATAACATCTATATTGACAGTAAAAGCGCAAAATTGACCCTTAAGACTCGATTTTCGTTGATGTTTTGTATTATACATTTATATTGCTGAAAACAACATTTATGTAAATAATTATTTTCTTTAGAGTTGTTTTCTTCGGAATTTAAATCATTTACATTCCTATAGATAGCTTGTGATGGTTTACTCACTGAGGCATATACATTGCTGAGTTTGGCTTTTAGCCTAACTGCTATGGTTTTGAACCAAGAGTTACCATACTGGTAAAGAAGAACAAGTAATTTGTTTTAAAATCTATAGTAGGAAAGATACATTAGAACATATGTATGTATTTTACTTACAAATTCTTCACAGTTATTAAATCAAATAGTACATTTGTAATATAAAGTGTTCGTTTCATGCAACATTACAAACTTTCGATTTCCACAAACAACATAGATTAGTGATTAGTGATATGATAGTTGAGACAAGTGAAACAAGCCAATAAATTACCCGAGAGTTCCTTGTCCATTCCCGTAGATAAAAGATCAACACACACAATGCTATAACTATGACTGTCAGCTGTCCAAACTCGTACAAACAAAATTGTCTCCACATAGAGTACATCTTAACGTGTGCACCGGGAATCAAATTGTCTGACTGCAATAAAAGTAAAGTAGATATAAAGGCAATGACGACAGAACTTCTTGTTTTATCTTTCCAAGTCTTACTAGTATGTTCTGGATAAATGAGGACTGAACTTCTTGTTTTGATCTTTCGAAATCTTATCTCCTTGTAATGTATATGCAAGCAAGAACTATGAGAAACCCTCTTTGACATACTTGAACTATGGTCACATCCAGCATCACTATAACATCCCTACTAATATTATTGTGATTTAAATTCAAGACAGGTGGTCTAGGTTGATCTATTCAAAGGTTGTAGGGTAGAACCGGTTTTATAAATAAAATTGGCAGTAAACAGGATTTTGCTATAGCCTGTTTCTTTTGAAAACATGTCCTATAATAAATGTTTCCAGACCTTTCTGAAAGACTTTCATGATTTTCAACAGAAAAAGGGTGGCTAAGGGAGGAAGTGTTAAAATAACAATACATCTTATACTTTTCGGCGAAAATTAGGGCTCAATTGTGACCAATTCGCTGGTAAAAAATGTGAATCATCATCTACATGGGCAAATCTTTGATTGCCTTACATGGCTATTGTTATAAATGTGCATGGAGGATCTTACCATGAGCAACTGACCAATCGTTGAATGAATAGCAACGTTTACGCCATATGCATGTTTACAATTAACTTCTAACACGTGGTTGACGTCATGATCATGTCAACGGACTGCAAAATAAAAAAGAATATTCTTACGAACAAAATACAAAGATAACAAACTATAGCAGATGTTACGGGCGTTTTTAATTTGTTATTAACTGGGAAAAAATTGTTTAATAAAATGTAGTTTGTGTCTAGTTCAGAACACCAAGGAAAACGAGCAGCATCTCTTATGCATTTAAATGGACAAAACTTTGTTTACGTTCGTGATCACATGTTCGGCTAGGGAATCCACCTGTCAATTGATTGATTGTATACTGTTTAACGTCCCTCTCCAGAATATTTCACTGATATGGAGACGTCACCATTGCCGGTGAAGGGCTTCAAATTTAGGCCTATGCTCGGCACTTACGGCATTTGAGCAGGGAGGGATCTTTATCGTACCACACCTGCTGTGACACGGGGCCTCGGTTTATACGGTCTCATCCGAGGGACCGCCCCATTTAGTCGCCTTTTACGACAAGCAAGGGGGTACTGAGGACAATTGTATTCACCGATAGTACAACAAAGGAATTAATACAGACGGAAATCGCTTTTGCAGTATGACTTTCAGAAACCTAGACTTCCATCGTTTATTTAACAAATGAATTGGTTGTCATTATGAGCATGGAAATAATAATATTACGCTTTTCATTAACCATAAGATTTTCCATTTTTATTCAAGCGTAAAATTCCTGTAGTATTCGTAGTAACCCATAATTCAATACTCATTCAGCTGATTGGTCAGTTAAAATCATGCTGGTGCCTCATTTGCTACATAAGGATATGGAAATAACGAACAGTATTCAATCTCAAAGTCTATTAAAAATATCAAATACTCTGACGTCAAAAAAATATAGTCCCGGTTCCCATGCAAAATATTTATCCAAAAAGAAATTTTAATTCGTGACTGCAGAAAATCGTATTATAGAGAATACTTATTTTAGTTTGAATGAATGTGAGAGACATCGATTGATTGAAGTACATTTCTACAGACATTATCACCTGATTCTAAAGTGTTGAAAACTGAAACGCAACATAACTTTTCTGTTTACCATGTCTCCACGTGCTAGTCACTTCCTAGCCACATTTCGTGGATAATTTACCCTATCTCGCTGAAGTCTCGCTAACACTCGCCAGAGCCACTGCGAGAGTTACTCTGAACTCATCGGGTTTTATAACTTGCAGAACACCAAAAATAAAAGGTTCCGAGCACATTAGTAGGGGTGCATAACACAGTTCGGTCAGTATACCTCAAGAAAAGGATTTATAGGTTTATAGGGGCTTTCCTTTCTTGATTTCTGTGAGAAGATCCACGACCTACAGCACCCATACGCTGCTTTAAACTAAAAAAAGAATACATAAGACGGTTTTTCTAAATTCTTCATTCACTCTATCCACGATGTACATATAGCTATTTCTTAAACATGTTTAAAATAAGATATATATGTATATATATACATTGAGCATAAAGTCAGGCCAGAAAATTGACATATAGTTACATGTAGAAATTGAACCTTATATAATATTTGTAGAATACAGGATACCAGTAATCAGTAAAAATGTTTTAATTTGAAAATCAATTGAGAAAATTTGGGTAAAATACATGAATATGTTACATATAAGTCAACAGTAAAACCGGATAGTGAACTGTTAAAAAATATACACAGCACACTACCAAGCCTAAAAAAGAATTCGTGAAGAGAACAAAATTGAAAAGCGAAAGAATACAGAAAAGCGTGTAGGAGCAGGCAAGTAGAAACCCCAAACCATAACCTGTTTCAAGTGACTGAAAAGAGTGTACAAATAAAGAAACAGTATAAAGATAAGTATATAAGATGGTAATTCTAGAAAAATTTGATAGAATAAGAATATGGAGATAAGGAACAGCATTCAATCTCAAAGTCCACAAAAAATACAAAATAGGAGCAGAGCAAACACGGAACCCCGAAACATCAGAGGTGGGATCAGGTGCCATGGAGGAGTGAGCATCCCCTGTCAACCGGTCACACCCGCCGTGTGCTCCTTGTCACGATCAGGAAAAACGGAAAAAAATCCGTCGTCATTTCAGTGTATAAATAATGGACTAACAATTGTTATGAAAAATGTCAGTCAGGATTTGATTCAATGATAAATTGTATTTGCTGACAAGGTCATTGTATCGACCGTAGAACTTACGAAATGATGACTTTAAACGAAACTGCTGATATTCTTGTTTTGTCAACTTGCTTGTCAATGATTTACCTCGTTTTAGAAATAGTTCATACGTAGAGCATGCTCTTGCATATCGAATCAACTGAGATATATATACTCCGTATGCAGGTGATGAAGGTATATTGCTGCATAAGTAAGGGAAGTTGGAGATAGAAAAGTTAAAGTCGTATTGGAGATAATATAGCCAAGTGTCCAGAAAACTTTATCAAATATGAGATTGTATTTTTGTAGACAAAAGCGGTTTATTAATTGGTTGAATATTGTTTAGCATCCCTCTTGAGAATTTTTCACTCATATGGAGACACCTTCACTTACAGATGAAGAGCATCAATTTTTTTGTCCTATGCCCGGCACTCGGCCATTAAGCAGGGAGGGATCATTTTCGTGCCAGCACCTACTGTGGCACGGGACCTTGGTTTATACAGTATCATCCGAAGGAGCAATCTCCACGCCCATCATTAGGATTCGAACCCGCGACGTATGGATCAACTACTTACTTTGCGACTCAAGAGCAGACGTTCTAACCACTGCGTCATGCGGGCGACAAGACTAAAACGAAGGTCCATTCGGTAGTTCCAAGACTCATTTACCAAAATAGAAAAATATTCGGGTTGAATATTACATTTAGATATGTGCTCCTTATACAATAAATTGATGACGGATTTTCTGTTATTTTCCTATCATACCAAGGGGCACACGGCGGGTGTGACCGGCCAACAGAGGATGCTCACTCCTCCATGGCACTTAATCCCACCTCAGGATCTGATGTTTCGGAGGTCCGTCTTTGCTCTGCTCCTACTTTGTATTGTTTGATGGACTTTAAGATTGAATACTACGTGTATTTCTTTATTTCCATATCCTTCTTCTTAAATAAAATGTCAGTTAGTAAAAATTATTTGTCTGGTTTCCTGATTACAAAGATCACACTGTGTCAGCAAAATCTTTACTGTGTCGCACGCATAAAATTTCTGTTTCGGGACCCAACAAAAAAACAGCTCATGGAGAACCTTGTATTGTTCGGTGTTTAAGCATTTTGAATACTGCACTGAATACACGTCCGCCATTTTCCTTTAATTTATTATTTACATAGCGACGCACACAGATTTCCAAATAGTTACACGTCTATCGGGTTTTACCTTTCTGTAATACACAAATACATTGCAGATCTTTATTGTTTCTGTCAAAAAGTTTTGAATGAGTATCGAAATAAACGCTAGCTGCTCACACAAAGCTAGTCTTGATTACAGTATATGCGTTGTGTTATTTGGGGGACACTCTGACAAATAATTAGTAGAGAAATATACTTTATTATATGGTGCATAACGAAAGGAAATTGGCAATAAATATCATGTGATTAAATATCAATATATTACTCTCAAAGAGAATAAAAACTATCATTAAATCAAACTGTTAATATATGAAATAACATTAAACAGGTTCGAAACAATCGCCTGTTTGAAATAGGATTTAAATTTACAGTGCTAAAAATATTTTTTTTATTTTTGTATTACATTCATAAATACGCATCGAAATACTTGAAAAGGAATAACCTTTGGCAAAACAGTTTTTCTTCATTCCTACAGTTTATTTAGTTTGATCCCCGAGAAGTTTAGGAACTTCCGAGGGATCAATTGACTAAACAATGGGCATACAGACAAATCGGTTAGCCAAAAAGCATTCCTTCATTTTTAGCACATTTATTTATATCCCATTTCGAACGGGCTATTATATTCCATTCGGGCGATTGATCCGAACCTGTTAAACTGACTGTAAATGAAATTTAACTTAGTGTAAACACGACAAAACATGGCGGTCTACATTTTACAAACTAAATTTACATGCTTTCTAAAAAAAAAAGCTATTACAACAGACACTTATCAATACATGATATATAAACAACTTACATATTACAGGTCAGAGATAGAATAAATGTAGCAGTGTAGTCAATGCCGCGGGACCGCTCCACGTTATGTCAAGGCAGGTATGAAGTTAGGAAAACAAGAGTTACAATATTAAGATCTATAACTCTTAACACTTTTTCTCAGCATACACAAGAAAACACAACTCTTCGTACTTCGTTAAGCAAATAA